CATCGCAAGAACTCATCTGCGCAGGCGAGCTGCAGGAAATCATCCTCATAGCTGAAAATTATTCAGGGACCGTATATTCTCGATGGCCATCTGCTCGGTTTTTCTCGGTCTTCCTGAGTTTGGAAATCGCATGCCTGAGCCTGATTCACGCACGAATGCGGTACCGAAGGGCGCTTTCCTTTCGTCGATTTCACGATTCTTAGATTCTGTCACAACTTCCGAAGGACGACACGAGTGGAGCTCGCCAATGAAAATCGGTATCCTCATCCTCAAAGCTTTTGTTTCCATTTCGATTCATTCAAGCTTTCACATGTTCAGCTTCTCCAAGCCCACTTTTGTGTTTTGAGAATCTCCCCCTTGTCTCTATTAATGTGCCATGCAGCGGTGTTTTACCCGAAGGAGTTAACGTTCTTAGATCTTGGATCACCTGCAACCAAAAGTAATGCGGTATGATTACATGGGCGTGCAGTGACGCTAGTAATACAACTTTGAGCCCTTGGGAGGATGGGAAGTGACACCCCGTGCAAACTAGACACGCTTTGTGTTCCCCCTGTTCGAGAGGAATTGTTTTTGCTCTCGTTCGGAGTTTCGGGACAGCGATGTTGTTCCGTCGGAATGATAAGCACCTTATTTTTCTGTGCAAGATCCTTGCAATTATTCTGGTTGCTATGCATTTTCAGGTTCTCTCCTTCCTGTTCAGCACGATCTTTTCATATTCGAAATCTGTCGAGTCGACCTTTAGTAATACCCGGAAATATACATCTGTCATTAGGGCATCTTGGAGTCGGCTTTGTCCTTTGCACTAGTTGAATCTCAATGAATCCCTCCTCGTCATCGTGGGATGGGAGAGAGGGCAATGAAAAGTGCTGATGAAACTGCTTAGCAGGCCTTTTTGTCGGACGACATTCTCGAAAATGCATTTTGCCTTAACGAATTACTGCGTCATGTATATTCAGGATGTTGGGGCATTGGATCCAAACCCGATAGGGATCCAATGGATCCCTATCGGATTTGATACGTCATTTAATAAAGTAACGACCAGTCGATTTGAAGCAATCCAATTCTGAGCAACTCTACTAAGTTCCATTTAAAATGTTGTTTGCACAAAAAAATGGTATTTAATGGGATACGACATCAAAAGCCTTCACAAAAATTTAAAAAATCCGACACATGTCCCATTAGTATCGATAAAATAATACAGCTATCGCAAAATGCAGTAACACTTCTTTAGTATAGTTTTTTTTAAGGAACTGGTAGGCAAAAGATAAGGTAATAAGAATGGAGATTTATGTATCACCGACGATGGAATGATTCCATTTCTCCTCCTTGATTGCTCGTTATCGCATGCCACGATTGCAGCAGATTTTATATAATTGGGAAGGCTGTTCGTCCAGTTTTCCTAGAATATGTACTTTGTCATCATCGTGGAATTGGATAAACAAGGAACAAGGAATAAATCGACTAGGCACATTGTGGGGGAAGGGTTTCTTGACGTGGCAAGTTATTGACACCGTTCAGTATTCTGAAGGAATGATTCACAAAACTTCACTTGCCGTGCCGGGTTCGAAAAAGAAGAGAGGAATAGAAAAAAAAAGGATCGGAGCGTGGAACTAGATTTTGGAAGAGCGAATCATGAAACTCTGCACGTGAGGAAAACCTCGAAAAAAGCTCAAAAATGATATCCCACGAATTCTCGCGCATCAGTCATTGTTATTGTTGTCAAGGTGGCCAATTGACAAGCGGAAATACCTCCCAAGCGTCTTATTTATGAGGTGCCACGTAGCTTTTCCATTATTATTACGGGTACATCAATCATTCTCAGCAGCTCGAAAAAATGCCTTTGCTTTCAGGGTAATTGACGTTCGCGTTATCAGTGTCAGAGGTCAGGGGTCGCAGAAGAGGAAGGACAAGGAGAGGGAAGGGGTAGCCTAACAATTTTTTTTTGGAGGTCAGACACTGGCAAGCAAGAGGAGGCCGCCTCTTAGTATTGCGATTCCAGATGTTTGATGAAAGTCACTTCACGATGTTGTGTGTGCCATGACGTGTATATTGGTCATAGGCTAGGGACTTAGTAAGAATGACATGCATGTTGCATCTAGCGGGTGCACCAGTCAATGAACACAGCATTCAAGTTTGGCCTAGTAGGAGAACACGTAGAAGTCAACAGCAGGGCCGTTTCTAGGCATATTGGCGCTCAGGGCAAGGAGTTCCGATGGCGCCCCCCCCCCCCCCCCCCCCCCCCCCCCCCCCCCCCCCCCCCCCCCCCCCCCCCCCCCCCCCCCCCCCCCCCCCC